TTCCTTCTCCTTCTCTGTGACTTTCCCTGAGAGTAGTTCCACTGGAGGATTTGAATTACACGATTCACAGATCTTATGCAGAGTTACACCTCATTCCTTATGACTCAGGCATTTGAAGGAGCCAAAAGGGGGCTGATTCCTAGGAACTAGTGGCTGGTAGCCTTTCTGATACTTCCTGGAGGGTGATTCACTCAGGAAAAACACACGTCCTTACTTTGATCTTACAATTCTCCCAGAAGCCTCTCTGACCTCAGGTCCACGCTTGGACCCTGGTACATTCCATTCCAGCCACTCCAGCCCCTGTGCTGCTCCTCAAACATGCTGCGCCAACACACATGCTATTTACGCTCTCTACCTGGAATGTTCTTTTTCAAAATATCACGGTCAGCAACCTCATGTCAGGTCTCTACTCAAAAGTGACCTTCTCACCCCTACCCCAATATTGATACCCACCTTGGGTTTTACTATTTCTCCTTAGCACTTACCACTATTCAACATACAACATATAAGCTCCATAACGGCAGAAACTTTGGTCTTGTTTGCCACTCCATTCCCCAGCACGTAAACCAGTGCCTGGTAAAACGTAAGTGACTCTGGTTGATAAGACTGTGTAATTGAAATTTGCTAAGAGGGTAGAACTTAAATGTTTCACCAGAGATATATACATACATACCTCTGTACATAAGAAAAAAGTCGTTTGAAAAGAGAAGAGAAAACAAAAGAAAGTTTCAAAAACAAAACCTCAAAACGGTGCCTGGCACATAGCAGGTGCTCAATAAAATAGTTGTTAAGTGAATGAATAATATGTTCAGGGTGCTCAAAGAAGACCCCACCAATCGTCAAACCAGGAAGGAAGGGATTTGGTCTCAGCTTGTGTGTGGCTGAGGCATTTTCCAAGATGACCCAGAGCATCCGGGTTGTTCCCTCCTCCGCCAGGAATGGGTACCATATGATGGCACCAATGGGCTTAGAAGCTGACAAACCCTCGGCCGCGTAAGCACTGGCAAGAGCAGTGGAGCAGCAGTAGACAGGCTTATCCAAAAGATCCTGCTAGGGGTAGAAATTTCCCCAGGATAAATGGTGGGCTTGTATCTTACCTGTAAAGGAAGGCTTCCACTGGTGACAGGACCCATAGCCAGTTGTCCTGGTTAATGGGCCTCTGTCCTGTTGTTCATGAGGTTACAACCAACTAAAGTCAAGTGGATGAGAAGAAATGTGTCCTTTGCCCCTTTGCACACCCTCTCTGATAAGCACCTCAAACTCAACTCATCCCAAACTGGTCACTCCCTGCCCCTAACCTGTTCCTTCAGGGTCTCCTAATTCAGTAACTAGTTCTACCATCTACCCGGTACCCAGGCCTGAAACTTGCATCACCTTTAACTCCTTCTGCCTTCACCCCTTCTTGCTAGTTCATCTCCAATCTCCACCTTTTCACTCATTTGTTTAGCAAATATTCATTCGTTCTGTGAGCGCTGTTGTCTCAAGTAGAATGTTGTGGGATGCATGTGGGATCTAGTTCCCTGACCAGGGATCAAACCTGGGCCTCCTGCCCTTGGGAGTGCAGAATCCTATCTACTGTGTCACCAGGGAAGTCCCTTGTGGAAGTATTGCAAGAGACTCCCAACTAGTCCCCTGCTTGTACCCTTGCTCCTCAACATAGCAGCCAGTGATCCTGTTAAAACTTAGACCATGTCACTCCCTGGCCCAAAACCCTCCAATGACTTCCACTGTAGTCTAATAAAAGCCTGAGTCCCTCCAGTGGCCTACAAGACCCTGTAAATCTGCTGCATCCCTACCCGTCAGACTTTATCTCCCACCATTTCTTCCTAGAACATCCCACCCCAGCCTCTCTGGCCTTCTGGTGTTCCTCAAACAGCAGGCCTGCTCCCACATCAAGGCCTTTACACTTGCTGTTCGCTCTTCCTGGAATGCTCTTTCCCCAAACACCTGCAGAGATCACCCACTCACTTTCTCCAGGTCTTTGTTCAAACATTACCTTCAGTGACACCTTTTATTAACTCCCCTCCTCCCCCCAACCCACAGACACCTCAGGTCCTCCTTTTTCTCTAAGACATGTGTCACCATTTGATACCTGTTTTGTGTATTCTGACCGTCTATTTCCCACACTAGAATGTAAACTCCACGAGGCGGGGATTTTCTATCGTTTACTTACTATCGTGTTCCCTAGCACCTGGAGCAGAGCTTGGTACAGCGCGTGGGCACAGTATTTGCTGACTAAATGACAGATGGAGAAATAAAGGCTCGGTCAAGTTCCTTACCCGAGGTCTTCACAGTAAGTGGTGTGCTGCATTCTAGAGCCCTGCCCTGGATCTTAACCCTAAGTTATGCTTCCCTGTTTGTCAATCATCAGGCAGAGAGCCAGAGGGGAGCTCTGACCTGAAGGCACAGGTTATTTGCTAACTGAGATGCCAGCTTCATCCTGCTCGCTGGGTAAGAACAGTCCTGGTTTCACAGGTTTTTAGAACACATGGAGGTATCTTCCTATCTGTCTCTGGTCGTATTGTTTGGCAAACCCTCCTCCCTGGAAACTATCCCGGATAATAAGAGAAGAGCCAGAGGTTTCCCTATCCACATTGTCTGAATAGGGCCATACCATCCCACTATGCATTATTCCTGCTTTTCCACCAAACTGTACATGGCCTGACACAAGAGTTACTTGCTCACATCATCATGATCTTGAATCAGGAGTTTCTGGAAAGAAGTTCTCTGTACTTTTCTTTTCTTTTTTTTTTTTTTTTTTGTACTTTTCTTTGTATAGCATCTATGACAGAACTGAAGGCCCTCGAGGTAAGCTTTCTGCTAAGGTAAACCTTTTCTGCAAATGACGATAGAAAACTCAAAACAGCCAAAGCTACATAAAGTATATATGTACAAACGAATCCAAAAGATTGATGACAAAGACCAAGTGGAAGAACGAGTCCTCAGGGAGGGGAAATACCACATAAAGGATTAGGGGTGAGCGTGAGAATATACAGGTCAAGGGCAAGCTGGAACCACCATTGATACTAAAGTCGTTGATTTAATCCCAGCTCCTATCCTAAACAGAGGTAGGACTTACTAGCAGCTCTCAGACTTCAGCAAAAAGCCAAGTCAGATAAAGGCAGTACGTACACACAACAAGGACTCTGCCTTAGATTCAGAGATAAACCCTGCTGAGGTCACGCCATTTTATCTGAGGCCTTGATCTACTTCACTCTGCCCCCTGCACACCCACCAAATATTAGGGTGCAGACTGCCACCTCTTTCCCTCCTTGGCTGGCCTCTTTACTCCTTCCCCTGATTGGTCAATACCTCAGGAACCTACCAGTATCCTCTGGCCATCCCTACACCTCCCATAAACTGTAGGTGACCAGGTCAAAACAATCACATATTAAAAAGCTAGTTACTGGGACTTCCCTGGTGATCCAGTGGTTAAGACTCTGTGCTTCCACTGCAAGGGCCGCGGGTTCGATCCCTGGTCAGGGAACTAAGATCCTGCATGGCACGGGGTATGCCCCCCCCCAAAAAAAAAGCTAGTTACTGCTGCCACATGAAAGGAAGACTAAAGAGGCAGCTGGAGCAGACCAAACAGGCCTAAGACAATGAGAGGTTATGGGAATGGAGAAGGAATGGTTCTGAATGACACTTCTGAGAAAACACCAGCAAGTGGCACTCTGGAGTGGAGCACTGAAGAGGACTCCGAGTGAGGTGCAGTGATGGTCCTGCTGCCACTGGGCACTCAGGCCGCTCCTTCACACTACTCTTCACGTAGTGGGTTGGCCAAAAGGTTCATTCTGTTTTTTCCGTCAGATGGCTCTAGTAGCATTTAGTTGTCTTTAACTTCATTCAAAACAATTTTGTTAGACTGTACGTGACAGCTGTCATATCAGTGTGCATTTAAAAAAAGACTTATCAAAGTTGGTGAATTTTTATGTAGCCATTTTAATATTGAAGATGGAAGAAAAGAGCAACATTTTCAGCATATTATGCTTTATTATTTCAAGATAGGTAAAAACGCAACCGAAATGCAAAAAAAAAAAATTTGTGCAGTGTATGGAGAAGGTGCCATGACTGATCGAACGTGTCAAAAGTGGTTTGCGAGGTTTCGTGCTGGAGATTTCTCGGTGGACGAGGCTCCACAGTCATGTAGACCAGTTGAAGCTGACAGCGATCAAATCGAGACATTAATTGAGAACAATCAACGTTATACCACGCGGGAGACAGCCGACGTACTCAAAATATCCAAATCAAGCGCTGAAAATCATCTGCACCAGCTTGGTTATGTTCATCGCTTTGATGTTTGGGCTCCATATAAGTTAAGCGAAATAAACCTTCTTGATCATATTTCCACATGCGATTCTCTACTTAAATGTAATGAAAAGTTCCATTTTTAAAACAAATTGTGACGGGCGATGAAAAGTGGATACTGTACGAGAACGTGGAATGGAAGAGATCGTGGGGCAAGTGAAATGAACCACCACCAACCACACCAAAGGCTGGTCTTCAGCCAAAGAAGGTGATGTTGTGTATATGGTGGGATTGGAGAGGAGTCCTCTATCTATTAAGAGCTCCTTTCAGAAAACCAAACGATTAATTCCAACAAGTACTGCTCCCAATTAGACCAACTGAAAGCAGCACTCGATGAGAAAAGTGTACAGAATTAGTCAACAGAAAACGCGTAACCTTCCATCAGGATGACACAAGGCCGCGTGTTTCCTTGATGACCAGGCAAAACTGTTATAGCTTGGATGGGAAGTTCTGATTCATCCACCATATTCACCAGACATTGCACCTTCAGATTTCCATTTATTTTGGTCTTTACAAAATTCTCTTAATGGAAAAAATTTCAATTCCCTGGAAGACTGTAAAAGGCACCTGGAACAGTTCTTTGCTCAAAAAGATAAAATGTTTTGGGAAGATGGAATTATGAAGTTGCCTGAAAAATGGCAGAAGGTAGTGGAACAAAAGGGCGAATACATTTTTCAATAAGAGGTTCTTGGTGAAAATGAAAAATGTGTCTTTTATTTTTACTTAAAAACCGAAGGCACTTTTTGGCCAACCCAGTACTAGCACTTGGTTCCTCTAGGGTAATAAACATATATCTACTAGGTAACAAATGACAGACAAATTTTGTCAAATTAAAGACAAAGAACATCAACATGCACTGGCAATTTTTAATGTTTCACTTGTGCAGAGCTGAAATTTGTATTTAAAGGCACGGAAGGAAGGAAAGGCAGTTATCACAGCATGAATTCACAGATGAAAGATGCTGGATCAAATCATAGCACTGTTCCTCTTCAGCCTTAGGAAAATAAATAATACGGTACTAAACTAGATGTTTATTTTTATTATATTTCCATGTAAAGACATCACCCAAATATCAGCTGAGCAAAAGACTTTCTGGCCAGATACCAAGCCCGCACAGTTGATCCCACTTTGGAATAAATGCCCAGAAGGTACACATCACCAGCGGGTGGGAGCTCTAGGCACAAAGTTGGGTCTCATTCAGAAAGTGGACAGAGATTTGAATCAGTCAAACATGCAGCTTCAAAAACTGGAAATCTTTCATGACATTTGTTTTGAAAATAAAACTTGTCAGCATATCAAGAACTATAATTTTCTAAAATGGAATCAGGCCTGATTAAATAGCACTTAAGACTTACTGACAAAAATTAGAAAAATAAAAACGAAAACTCTTCTGTCCTTGAAAGAGATAGAAAATTATATTTTTTCCCTGTAACATCATAAGAGAATCATCAGTATTTCAATCTTACATCTCTTAAAATGTCATTTCTTCTTCTTTCCACATTCTCCCACTTTTAAAATAGCAAAGCCTGTTCAACATGGCAATTTTTGCTAAGTAAAAGGATGCACTATTTATTGAATACAAGAGTATGAATGAGAAAAAGCTGAATGTTTAGAAAAATACTCGTTTACCCCTAATGGGATCATACCCACCAGGTGGAAAGAAAGAGAAAGACTTTCTTAAAAACAAAAACAAAACCCAGTGATTTAAAACATTCTGTACATAATTCCTAATTTCAAAGCATTATTAGAAACTCCTGAACAGTGTATAGCAAGAGAGGGAACAGAGAAATTTGATAGAACAGGAGAGAGCATATTTCTAACTACTTTCATTTACAAAACATCAGCCTTACCAATTATTAGCTTTCTTCCTTATTTAAAACATTGATTGGCCAGCTTAAATCATAACAGCATGAAAGTAAAAATAAGTCTCAACTTAGGTATGAGCACAGTGATTCAGGACCACTGTTTCTGTCTTACAGAGAGGATTCAGAGGTGTGTTCCCTTTTAAACATATGCCCCCAGACACCTTATATGCAGGTTCCATATAAGCATGTAAATAAAACAAGTTCTGTATTTTCTCAAGTGATTTTACAAGTTGACGGTAAACTAGATTTTAAAGATAAAACTAAGCCTTTAAAAACATTAAGCCTCAAAATTTCATCCAGTGTTTTCTTTAAGAAATGGATTATTAAAATCATTTTTGAAATGAGATATTAAATGTATTTAAATCTTGGCTTTTCCATACTTAATAATTTTTCTTAAAAAAAAAAAAAGTTTAAAAACATCAAGAGCCAGAACATGCTGCCAGGACAGAAATCATCAGAAACGTCTTCAGTTGCAGACCCTGGGCAACTCAGTCTTGTTTTGAATTTTTCAAAGCCTGGAGTCTCTCTAGTAGCGGAGGATGAGAATAATGCCACATAGAGAACAACCAGTCAGAAACAGGGAAACCCAAGTTATCTTTGTTTAGTTTGATTAAAGCAGAATATAAGTCTTTAGCCTTCCCAAGTTTCTTGGCAAACGCATCAGCTTGAAATTCAAATCTGCGGCTTAGGACTGTTAGGCAAAAAGAAAGAACCTGAAAAAGTAAATAAAAGTGTTTTAACCACTGCTCCCCTCTTTGTTGTCACTAAAGGTTTCATGAGCCAAAACTGTAGAGGAAGTTTGGCTCAGGATAAGAGAAACAGCAGGCCAAAAGAAAGATCACTCATATTTAGGGGACCTAGGGTGGGGGAATTATTAAAAATTGAGCCTTTTCCCCAGCAAGCCAACAGACCAGAAACAGATATATGTCCAAAGGAATGTCAGTCTTAAAGAAATACTAACATTTGAGAACCTGCCATGTGCTGGGCACTGAATTGACACTTTACATATTCTCCAACAATCCTACAAGGTAATTACTCTTACTCCTGTTTTACGGATGAGGAAGGTGTATCTCAGAGAGGTGAGATAACTTGCTTGTAGTCACACTGCTAGAAGGTGGCAGTGCTGAAATTCTTGATGATTCCAAAGCCCATGGACACTACCTTCCTCAGATACAGGTAAGATGTGGTGATTTATATTCAGACTCTTCTTTTTCTTTTTTAAAAAAATTCTTGCTCACTTATCCACCTTTAAATGATAACTGAGAACATTATAATATATATATATGTGTGTGTACACGCACACACACACGTATATATATATTATAGCCACTAATGACAATCTCAAAATAGAATTTTCTAAAGTGTTCTGAGTTATGGTAGCTTCATCAGAATAAATGTTCAGTCCCTGAAGGTGACAACTACGAAGAGGACAAATTTCATCCGAAAAAATAAATTTTGAGGGAAAATTAATTTATTTGCATATTGAAGTATTACAGGTTGAATGACATGATGTCTATTTCTTACTTTAAAATATGTCAGCAATAAAAAAAAAAGTTTAAAAAGTCTCTCCTCTGTACCTCTTATTGCCACTAGCAGATATAGAGTTTCAACATAAAGTCTGGGAGTTCCTGATACCTTCTTAGATATGTTCAAAGCTAATATCTGAATTCTACCTGAAATTTCTTTCCAAATCTTGAATGTACTTTTTGGGACAGAATCATTAACTAGTATCTATCTATCTATCTATCTATCTATCTATCTATCTATCTATCTATGTATCTATCTCCTGATTTCAAGTGTCCCAGGCTAACTGTTCCTTGAATCTCACTGTAAGACATAAATAGAAACATAAGCAGATATAACCTATACCTACCTACTCTGCTGTAGGTTTCCAAGCTCTTCTTGATGGGGTAATTTCCCCATTTTCTGGGAAAATATGTCTTTCCTATAATGACCTCTTAAATGCTGACATTAAACATAAGATTTTCTGTTTAAATACTTAGTCTTTTTGAAATGAATCTCCTGGGCTCACCAAAGTTTTTACAACAGTTGCTAATATCTCACATTTCAAATTACTCTAATACCCCACATTTACTTAGACATTTTTTGAAGTGAACGCAACTACTCAATATAAGGAGACAAAGACAAAAACTGAGAGGCCAAATTAGATGCCCAAAGGAGAACCACTAACGTTACTGGTGCCTTCCTTAGAGGACACTTATACTCAGTCAAAATCTAGTAACTTTTACTTAATGAGTTTATCTGATTTCCCAGTCTATGATTGGTTGAAGAAGAAAATTATAAACAGATAATGACCATAACAGAAAGTTACACTGATATTAGCAAGGATTATCAGCCTGACAGTGAGCGAAGAGATAAGAAAATTAGTTAAACAAATAAATAAACAAACAAACAGCATAACTGCTTAAAGAGCAAAGCAGTCTGGGGCATTTCATATACATAACTCAGTGTCCTTAAGGCATTCCTGAATTGTGACTGAAGACAGAAATGACAATTACCACTATAAGGTGTTCTATAACCTCTTTAAGAAGTAACAGTCTATGTACAGCATTTTATACTCTCAGCAAAAGGTAAAATAAAAAATTAAAACATTTAGAGTTTAAAGATAATAAATCTCAGTTCTCTGAAAATGAATGTAGATTCTGAGGACAATGCTATACAAACATGATCTATTCCTCTCCATTTTTCTTTGCTGGTGCCTTACACCCCAGCCCACCCCCACCTTTTACGGAGAAAGTTAAAACCTTAACTCTACAACCTGTCCCAAGAAAGAATTCTTCTGAATGGAGACATCTCGAGATCCCCGATACTATTTCTTGGCTTAATGTGGAAGTCTAATCAATTAGTATCAGGACATGTTGCCATCACTGGATTTATTCATATACAGTCTCATTAATCTATGTCTTATCACATATACGGAGTCCCCCTACTGAGTGGTTCTTAAACTACACTTATCATAAAACACCCAATTCTGATTCAGAGGGTCTGGGGTGGGATGCTAAGGCTACTATGAATCAGGTGGTCAGGGAATACAATCAGAGGAACACTGTCATACAGCCTCCCTTATCCAGTCATACTTACACTCAATTATATTTGCTTTGTCCCTTCACACACACAAGGTTTTCACCCAAGCACTGGTGAATATGTGGTTTAGGACATAGCATTCCGATAGTTAATCTCCATCTACCAAGTCTCTAGGTACCTGTTATATCAAGGTTTTCACCACTAAAGTCTAATTCTCCACTTTTTTTTTCCCCTAACAGTATGCAAGCACTTATTATTTGGGATTGGGTTTTTCTGCTACTTTCTTATACTAGCTAGTAAATCAAGCGACTAAAACTTTGTTTCATCTGCTTGTTAAAACTATAGTTTTGTTCTGTTTTTTCACTACCCTAAAGGTTCTAGATTTGAAATAGACAAGGGCATATGTGAGATAATTTTAAAGAGTATACGTTACCTCATTGTAAGGTGAAAAAATAAACTGGAAGATGATCAATAGTCCAATTAGAGTGGGTTGGCTGTCATAAAAACCAAATGCAACAAAAAGCTCCTTTCGACCAATTAATACAGCAAACAAGAAAAAACACAGGAAAGAATTCATCTAGAAAGAAGGATACAAAATTTCTAAGTTATTTCTAAGCTGATTTCACTGTGGGATCAGTAGAACAAGACATCATGATGTGATTTTAAGAATGATGTTAGTGTAATCACAGAAAAAGTTATTTAGGTAGTTTTATAGTTTTACTTTTATTCTAGAAGGAGAGAGGGCCTGAGTTGAGGATATATACACTAATTCATGTTAGTGGACAAATAATGGTTTAGCTGGATGACTAGGACCTTGGAACAAACTAGTGGATGGCTAACAAGAAGATCTGGAAAGGGGTATGTGGTAAAACTTCCAAAATTAGCCCAGAGTATGATAATACTTAGGTCTAACGTGAATGTTCACCAAAAGCGTTCCACGGTAGAGGAGGCCCTCTCAATGATCAGGTGGAGAAGATATCTGCTCTGCAGATGTTAGCCAGCTTCTTTCCTTAGCCACTCTAGGACTTGGTCAAGGGCTCATGAACAGAGTGGCCATGGTGATAGGGATGGAATCAATGCATTAATCAGCAACACAGACATCCCCCCACTGGCTCTTGCTGAGTGTACAATTTTTCAGAAGAGGCAATCAACCCCGGCCCTAATGAGGTACCTCAGGGACCAGTCCACCACCCTCATGGTAGGCTGATTTTATTGGACCCCTTCCTTCATGAAAGCAGCAGTGATTTTCCTTATTAAACTGAATAACTTACATTAAACTTGGATTTGGACTTATTTAATGTCTTACTCACTGCCATGTATCCGTACAACATAGCTTCCCGCCAAGGAATTCATTTTTATACCTATAGATGTAAGGCAACAGGAAGGTACGTACAGGGGTACACAAGTCTTCCCATACAATCCATCACCCAGAACCAGCTAGCCTTTTAGAAAGGTACAAAGACCCATTTAAGTCTCAGTTGAGGCCATATATGCTCAGAACTAGTCAACAAAACACAGTGCTACTTCACTTAGAGCCTTAAAACTGTGGTCACTCTGCTGGTTTAGTGGTATTAATACCCAGAAGCGGAATATTACAGAAATTATTATGTGCTTTATATTTACTACCTTTTCCAATTTTTTTTCCTATGGGTATAGAATGACTTTTTTCCGCTCCAGGGAAGCCCCTATAATGACTTTTTTAAAAGAGAAAAAATGTTTTTTAAAAAGTATTTTAGGGCTTCCCCGGTGGCGCAGTGGTTGAGAGTCCGCCTGCCGATGCAGGGGACACAGGTTCATGTCCTGGTCTGGGAAGATCCCACATGCCGCGGAGCGGCTGGGCCCGTGAGCCATGGCCGCTGAGCCTGCGCGTCTGGAGCCTGTGCTCCGCAACGGGAGAGGCCGCAACAGTCAGAGGCCCGCGTACCGCAAAAAAAAAAAAAAAAAAAAAAAAGTATTTTAATACCCAAGTTATCTGGGCTCACTCCTTTTGATCTTCACAGCTCCTTAGCCGAGTGACTCAGGAGGTGGTGACAATGACGATGATGATAACAATAAATACTTCTATAGTACTTACCATATTCCAGGTACTACTCCAAATTCTTTACGTATATTAACTCATTTAATTGTTACATCAGTCCTATGAGATATCATCACTCAATAAGGGAATGGAGGCAGAGAGAGGCTCAGGAACTTGCCTGAGGTCACACAGGTAGTAAGTCAGGGAGCCGTGATGTGAAGCCTGGCTACAGAGTCTGTATTAACCTCTCTACTATATGAACTCTCATGCCTGCTATATTTATAATTTGACTATCCTGTCATAAAAAGAGAATTGTCACTCCAAACTTACCTGGCTAATAATGATATTTTTGACTGTGTGTCCCAACTTCCAGTGCCCCAGTTCATGGCCTAGCACAGCAAGCACTTCCTCATTTTTACATCCTTGTTTCTTATTCTGAATCGAAGAACAAATTGAAAATAAATTATCAACAAACTTCAAAAAGTTTATACCTTTTAACCCAGAAAGAGACCTTCTTAGATTCTAACTTAAGAAAACAATCGGACTTTTGTGCAGAACTGTTCATTCACTTAACAAAACATTCCCTGAACCACTCCACATTAAACACCGGGTTAAGCTTGAACACAGAATCATGAACAAGACAGACATATTCTGACTTCATGAGTCTACTTTAGATTAAAAAATATATAAATATTTATCAATAGGACAATAGTTAAATAAATCATGACACAGTCATGTGACAGCCATATTATAAACCCATTAGAAATTTTGCTTTCAAAGATTATGTTGCAACATGGGAAACTGCTCATGATAGTGCCAAATAACATTTATGTTATACATCCACTAGATGAATATCCACTAGATGTTTTCAAAGATTATGTTCTGACATGGGAAAATGGCTCATTAGGTGAAGAAAGCAGGAAACAAAACTAAAAATATATAGTATGATTCCAATTATGAAAAAATGCAAATGTGTATGTAAAAATACACAAATATAGAAAACAGACTGAAAGTATATCGAAATGTCAACAATAGTTTTTCTATATGGTAGAATTACAGTGATGTTTATTTCATATCTTTCCTATTTTCCAAATTATCTGCTAATAAGGACATGTCACTTATGACCCCCAAAAACACCAGGAAATGCTCTTTAAAAAACTGAGACTTCCAAGCTAAGATGGCAGAGGGAACATTCACATCTAATTTTATTCCCTCTAAAAACTCCAGTAAAACTACAATCAAGAGTTGGTTTTTTTTTAAGATATAAACCCACAAGGATAGGGAAAACAGGTGAGGTGGCAAGAGCAACAACATTTTGGAAGCAGGAAAGCAGACAGACAAATGATAATAGACTAGGCAGGCCAAAGGAAGTTACATCATAAGCTAGCAGTGGAGAAAAGAGAACCAGCCTGATTTACACTGGCTGAGAACACTGATTAACACTGACAGTCTTTAAAGGGCTCGAGAACTAACAGTACCAGGTAATTCTGGAACTGGGGAACAGGAGGTGGTGGCTGAAATAAGAATTGAGAGCTGTGTGAGAAATGATTAAAGCTCCAGATTCCTTCTCCAACTCCACACCAAAAGGCAAGTGCTCCTCCTCGTTCTGGCAAAAGCCTGAAAGCTCATTCTCCCTGGATAGGGCAAAAGAATAGGACACTTCAACTGGGAGTTCGACATAGTTGAGGGCCTGGGTACACTAGCAACAGACCATGTATTTGCTTACCTAATGGTATGGTACACTGAACACTGAGAACTCCCTCTCCCAAACTAGTCCTCTCCCCATACCTGGCTCCCAGATAACTACCCACCAGGCAAAAGACTAGAAGAGTACTCCCTGGGAACTGACCATTCTACCAGGAAAGACCTGAAGATACTAACAGCAGGTATTCCTCAACTACAAGCACATCCAAGCCAAGCTACAGTGAAGCTCAAAGTTGATAAGCCTTATCTACAGGCTCAGAGATTCCAATCAGGTTTTCAGTCCCATTCCTTTACTAAGGAGTACACGAACAAGGATTATCAGGTATGCAAGGTAAGTAAGCTGTTAAGATGGAAGACCAGATACAGAAAAAAATGCAGTATGGAAGAAACAGAAATTATAGAAGGAGAAAATTCAGAGATAAGATATTATATTCGTGGAAAAACAGAGGATAGTGTAAAAATGGGAAATTCAGAGAAAAATAAATCTTGGAAATTAAAGCTTAATAGAATGATTGGAAGGACTTCCCTGGTGGCACAGTGGTTAAGAATCCGCCTGCCAATGCAAGGGACACGGATTCGAGCCCTAGTCTGGGAAGATTTCACATGCTGTGGAGCAACTAAGCCTTTGCGCCACAACTAATGAGCCTACACTCTAGAGCCCGCGAGCCACAACTACTGAGCCCACGCGCCTAGAGCCCGTGCTCCGCAGCAAGAGAAGCCACCACAATGAGAAGCCCACGCACAGCAAGGAAGACCCAATGCAGCCAAAAATAAATAAATAAATTTATTTAAAAAAGAAAAAGGTTGGGAGATGATGGAATCTCCCAGAAAATAGAAGAAATAAAGAAATGGAAAAGCAGGAGAGAAAAGCTAAGAAAGTTCAATATAAGGAAGCCAACATTCAAATAATAGGAACTCTGAGAAGAGAGAATAAAAAAATGGAGAGGAGAAAATCATCAACAAAACAATTCCAGAAAGTTTCCTAGTACCAAAGAACCTCAACTTCCAAATTAAAAGGGCCCAATGCATACCCAGCACAATGGGTAAAAACAGACCCACTATGTTGTCCATTAGAAACTAATATAATATTGCAAATCAACTATACTTCAATTTAAAAACAAGGCTCACACCAAGGCATGTGAAATTTCAGAACACAGAGAAAGGAGCCAACAATTTCCTAGAAGCATAAAAATTAAGGTAACATACTAAGGATAAGTAAACTGAATGGTTTCAGACACCTCACCAGCAATGTTGAAATCAAGAAGACAATGGAGAGAGTTCCCTGGTGGCCTAATGGTTAGGATTCCGGGCTTTCACTGTTGCAGCCCAAGTTCTATCCCTGGTAGGGGAACTGAGATCCCACAAGCTGTGTGGTGCGGCCAAAAAATTAATTAATTAATTTTTTAAAATAAAGCAATTTAAAAAAAAAGACAATGGAACAATGCCTTCACAATCTGGAAGAAAAAGTATTTCCAATCTAGAAATCTAAACCCCAGTCAAAGTGACAGAAAAGAATGTGACAGAAAAGTGAAGGCATTTTGATGCCAGGACTCAAAAACTTTACTATGCAGTCTTTCTCAGGAAGGTACTGGATTGAGGATGTTCTTTACCAAAATGAAGGAGTAAATTAAGGAACAAAAAGTCATGGAATACAGAACACAGGAGACCCAATGTAGGAGAGAAGTGAAGGAAATCTCTAATGGTAAAGGGCAACCCCAGAATGACATCTATACACCAGCTAGAGAGCGTAACCCATCCAGATTTGAACAGTGTGACTCGAAAGAAAATCTGTTAAGGGCTGCCATGATCACACTCTCAGTCACCATACCATCTTTTTAACCTGATGAAACTAGTAGAAGATGTACACTATCAAGAGAACACAGCAAATCAACTTGGAATCAAGGATGAGCACAAGGGAAGTCCAGTATGAGAACTGAAGAGCAGGGCTTCAGAGAAACCACCCCAAAGAAAGAAAATAGAGATCTCTTTTGGGGTGTGGCAGGGATGAGGGGGACTAAAACTAATAAGGTTAATGATGCAATTAAACTTGTAGGAAATTATACTGAAGGACAGCAGAAGTTGTGAGAAGAATTAGCAAAAAGATAAAAGGAAAACTAAGCACACTTAAAAAAAAAGCAATTATTAAGCAAGAGGGAAAAAAGGTAAGGCATGCTCAGCAGTGAATAGGTACAACACTGTTTTACAATAATGTTTACAAAAATGTTTTGATACTGATTAAACCAAGAACTGTAACAGGACTATATTGGAAGAATTGAGGGAAGGGAGGAGCAGAGCGGATGTTAGGACAAGAGCTAAATCCTCATCTACCGTAAGTGAAAGTCAAGAGATAATAGTGTCAGGGACTTCGCTGGCGGCCCAGTGGTTAAGACTCTGTGCTTCCACTGCAGGGGGTGCGGGGTGGATCCCTGGCTGGGGAAACTAAGATGTCACATGCCATGCGGTGCAGGAAAAAAAAAAAAAAAAAGAGATAGGGTCAATAAATAATAGTACACATACAATATAGAAAATGATATGTGTAAATGTCAGAAGAAGCTAAAAGAGTTGCAGTCTGTGGGGAAAGGGCCCTGGCAGCACGTGAGCAGCACAGAGAAGCGAGAAACATGAAACTGCTATATTTTATTATATGCTTTTTTTGTACTCTGAACTTCTAAACAGTATGTTTGTGTTACTTTAATAAAGTAAAATTTAATGTTAAAATTTATTGGAGTTCTGCTTCCCTAACTTTATGATAGCCTCTCAAACCAACATTACAAATATATATGTAAATACACACACACACATATACACACAAAAATATATACATACACATGCATACATATTTCTTTTTCCTTCAACACATATGAAGAATAGGCCAGGAAAGATTAAAAAAGTAACAACAAAGTTGCTAACATTTATTAAACAGTGACTATGTACCAGGTCCTCTGTGCTAAATACTGTATTATAACTCATTTATACATCATAATCACCATATTAGATAAGTACACTTATTACTGCCCTTTAAAGATGAGAAAATCTAGACAACTGATGGGAACATACTGTATAGCATAGGGAACTCTACCTAATGCACTGTGGTAACCTAAATGGGAGGGAGGTCCAAAAGGGAGGGGATATCTGTATGTGTATGGCTGATTCATTTTCTTGTGCAGTGGCGGCTAACACAACATTGTAAAGCAATTAATTAATAAAAATTAATTAAAAAAATAAAAATATAAAGATGAGAAAATCTAGGTACAGAGAAATTAACTAATTTTCCTATGGCCACACAGCCAATAAACAGAAAACCTGGGATGTGAAGCCAAGTAGTCTGATGCCAGAGACCTGTGCTTTCAACTTTCACACAGCTATAACTATAAAAGTAAATTATTCAACATTTATCTAATAAACAATTTTTTAGTCAACAGATATGTAATCATTTGCATATTATTATAGTACTGGTTTTGAAATAACTAAACATAGGGAATTCCCTGGTGGTCCAGTGGTTAGGACTCCATGCTTCCACTGCAGGGGGCACAGGTTCGATCCCTGGTCTGGGAACTAAGTTCCTGCACGCCGCATAAAAATAAATTAATTAAATAAAATAACTAAACCTAAATGGTAGGTGGTCATATGAATGATAAAATATAATGTTTACAAAGCCAAATAAAATTCTCACTGTTTATAAACTTTCCAGATTAAATTTAAATAGTGCCAAGACACAATGAACAATTTAA